TTTTTTCATTTTGGGTTTTCAAGACAGGGTTTCTCTGTGTAGCCCTGGCTGTCCTGGAACTTGCTATGTAAACCAGATTGCCCTCAAACTTGGAGATTCATCTGCCTTTGTCTCCCAAGTGCTGGGACTAAAGGCATGCACCATTGATGGTTACCACCAACAGGTTACAAGGTTGATGGGGTTTTTTTTTGTTTTTTAAGTGCATGTCTGTCTGTGTACTTAGCCCACAGAAACCAGAAGAGGGCATCAGATCTCCTGAAGTCGAGTTACAGAAGTATGTGAGCCACCATGTGGGTGCTGGGAATCGAACCTAAGTCCTCTGAAAGAGCAGTCAGTGCTCTTAGTCTCTGAGCCATCTCTCCAGCCCCTGCACACAGTTATTAATGTCAGGACTAGAAAGATGCAGCAAGCTAAGCAGCTTGCTGCCAAGCCCAAAGACTCAAGTTTGATCTTCCAGAACCACACGGTGAAAGAAGCTCTGACATCTATGTGCATGGTGAAATGTACACATCCACAAACACACACATATGCGCGCACACACACACACACACACACACACACACACTCACGGAGTAATAACAAAAGCAAGTTCTGAATTTTAGGGTGTTGCTATACGTGAGAGTTACCTATTGTAGAACCAAGTCATAGGCGGTAAGAAAACAGAGAGCCCGCCAAAATGAAGACTCACGGAGCAATGTCAGTTTGTCGCAAACGTTCTCCCCGTCGATGAAAAAGGTCATCTTCCATTCAGTTTTCATGTTACTGGTTAACTGGTTACATATCCACTTGATCAAGATACAGAAATTCCCACTTTCAAAGAATTTCCAGATTAATTCCGGGAATACAAAAAATTCATAAGACAGTAGATTAGGCGGTGTGACAGTGGTATGGGTAATGTTTTGGCTTGGATAGTATGGTGGGGTTTGTTGTTGCTGTTTTTGTTTTGTTTTGTTTTTTGGTTTTTTGTTTGTTTTGTTGGTTGGTTTTGGTTTTTTGAGACAAGGTTTCTCTGTGTAGCCCTGACTGTCCTGAACTAGCTCCATAGACCAGGCTAGTCTTGGACTCACAGCGATCCACCTGCCTTGGCCTCCCAAGTGCTGAAATTAGTGGTGTACTCCTCCACCACAGGACTAGATAGCATGTTTCAGACAGGGTCTCATGTATCCTAGGCTGGTCTTGAATTTACTATGGAGCTGAAGATGACTCTGAACTCCTGAGACTCTCGTCTCCGCTTCCCTGGTGCTGAGACTATAGGTGTGTGTTGTTGAATAATCTTTCTGCACGCTGTGAAAATGTGTTGCTCTCATTGTTAAGAAAAAGTTGATTGGCTGATAGTTAGGCAGAATTTGGGGGGTAGAGAGAATGCTGGGAAGAGGGGCAGAGTCTGAGGAGTCACCCCAGAAGAAGGAACACAAGAAGTTCACACATGAGGTGAAGGAGCCCAGGGCAGCACACAGATGGATAGAAATGGGTTAATTTAAACTGTAAGAACTGTCTGGAAACAAGGCTAAGCTATTGGTGGAGAATTTATACTTAATAATAAGTCTCTGAGTGATTATTTGGGAATAACTGTTGGGAATCAGAAAAGCTCTACCTACAAATGGTGTCCAAATGTCCGGCACCGACATTCACGTAAGACCTGAGGAAGCTTAACAAAGGTTCTCAACACACAAAAACAGAGGCAAACGCAGCATCCTAGTCTCATGCCTCTTATACTGACCACAGTTTAACAGAGACGTGTTTCCCAGCCTCTGCCTGCAGACTTGAATCACCAGTGCAAGCACCACCAGAGCATGCCCCACCATCACGCCATGAACTAAGCCACATGGCAGGTGTAAGTTTTGCTCATACAGACAGAAAAGATTACAGATATGTAGTAAACACAGATCTAGATTGAGAAAATCCTCTAAACGGATTACAGTGTATTTAAAAATATACATAGGCAGCTGGGCAGTGGTGGCACATGCCTTTAATCCCAGCCCTTAGGAGGCAGAGGCAGGAGGATCTCTGTGAGTTCGAGGCCAGCCTGGTCTACAGAGCGAGTTCCAGGATAGGCACCAAAGCTATATAGAGAAACACTGTCTCGAAAAACAACAATAACAACAACAACAAATACACACACACACACACACACACACACACACACACAGGCTCGGGAGAGAAAAGAGAAATGGTGTAGATTGTCATAGAAAAAATAGTTTAAAAATAATGAAGTCTTTAAAGAAAAAAATAAAGTAATATAAAGGACTATAAAGGAAAAACACCATGCAAAGATGGAAAATACACGGGAGTCTGGATTCTGTATGTTACTGTGTTGTCCTTGAACCTTCTGATTGCTGATGAAGGAATGACAGCTGCTAAGACACACTGGACTATGGAAACTGCTGGATTAAACCAAGCTTTATATGTCTTGACTCCAAAGTGGAAGTCAAAAGATATGTTACTTTGGGGGAAAGTTATGCTTTTATTTTCACAGGAAAGGCTGTGGATTTCATTTCAGGTTGATATGAATCAGGTTTGATCAGGGAAGAAAATTCTGAAAAATCCTGGCTACATACATAAAGAAATAAACCTAGAAAAACTACAAACCATGTAACATATATTTTACCTGCTCAAACATAAAACAAAAAAAAAATCATCTGGCTAGCCTGTGTACAACACACATTCTATATTTGAATTAGTACAGAAATATATGTTACTTTTAAAAACTTATGTATTTTCAGAACAAGAAGACCAGCCACCAATGAAAATGGATGGCCCAGGTAATCCAGCCTCTCAGAATGCCTCTGCTACTCTCTCCACAGACTTCTGTATCCAGAACAGCTTCAAGGCTGCTGGCTGAGGAGGTCCAGCCTCACAAACTACTCCAGCCAAGACCTAACAATTATCCTGATTTTCTCAAGTTTCCCCAAAGACTGCAGGAAGTAGTCTAGAGAACAAAGCCCACATTCCCAAGAGATAGGGTTTGGGTGGGTTTGAGTTACTCAATGGACTGCAAATGTTTGACGTTATTTAGGGGGGGTTGGATATAAGTTGTTATTGGTCAAAGTTAGAAAAAAAGCTAAGCAAAAGAGTTAAATTCAAAGATCTCTTTCCAAAGGAAAAAGGGGGATATGATATAGGAACGATAAGAAAAAGTGTAGATTATTAAATCTATTTTTATCCAAAAACAACTATTAATCTCAAAATATTTTACATCGGTATGGATTTTGATTTATTGATATAAATTTAAAGTTATTTTTGCTATACTATATGTATGTTTTTACTCTGGGGTATTGTGCTTATGAAACTCATTTTAAAATGTAATGTAAAATTAAAAATACAGGTTAGCAGTAAGTCACCTATAATAATCAACGCTATAGTCATGTTAGGTATATGTTTTCAAGGTCATATACAGATACGTTTAGATAGTTGATCTTCAAACACTTGAAAGACCTACAGAATATGGCATTTAATATGTTTAATAATCTAAGGTTTTTTCATGGCAGTGAGACACATCTGCTCCTAACAGTACCAGTTTACTTCAAAAGAAGATGATGGGCATCCAAGAACCTCTGTATGGAATTTGTTTTTTATGGCAAAAACTAGTCATTTGGGCAAGAAACTTCCCTTACCTAAATTGCTGTCCAAACTGGATCAGCAGGACACGCACATACACAAAAACTAAAAGCAATGGCCAGACTTTGGCAAGAGAAGGTAGAACAAAAATGTCTGTCAAATATACTAGACCTGCAGGCTAAAGTTGGATGCCCCAAAGCTGCAAAATAACTATGGGTGACTGTCCAGGCAGCCAGATATCCCTGTCATTAGGTAACATTTCACCCTTCTGGGGTTTTTAATGGAGTTAAAGACTAAATAATTAAGCTTATAGTTTTCCTTAGTATGATAAAAAGTAAATTAGGTATAAAACTTTAGACTTAGAAAGATAAGATAGATAATAAAGTATTTTCTCTAATTTTGCAAAATACAAATGGACTGGGTATTATAACTGTAATTCTTACTTGATAACTGTTTTTGTTGTACATAGTTTTACTATGTTAAAGTTAAAACCTTTTTTAATTAGACAAAAAAGGGAGAAATGTTATGGAATAATCTTTCTGTACATTGTGCAAATGTGTTGCTCTCATTGTTAATAAAAAGCAGATTGGCCAATAGCTAGGCAGGATTTGGGGAGCAGAGAGGATGCTGGGAAGAAAAAGGGTGGAGTCTGAGTTGTCTTGAGCCAACTTTAGAAGAAGTAACATGGGAAGTTCATTGATGAAGTAAATGAGCCTCAGGGCAGCACATAGATTAATAGAAATATGTGAATCTAAGGTGTTAAGAGCTGATTAGAGACAAGCATAAGCTATTGACCAAAATTTATAATTAACAATAAGTCTCTGAGTGTTTATTTGGGAGTGGCTTCCAGGACACAGAGAAACTCCATCTACAGGTGTGCACTACCATGTGCACTTCATGCAGTGCTGGGGATTGAACCCAGGGCTTCATGCATGTTAGGCTGATGCTCTATCACTGAGTCATATTCACATCCTTGTACAGATAATTTTAGAAAATTTGTATTATTGCTATGTGTGTTGCAGGAATCCATATTAAGGAGTGTGTGGAGGTCAAAGTGAACTGCGGAGTTGGTTCTCTCCTTCAACCTTTATGTGGGTTCCAGGAATGAATTTTGGTCTCCAGGCTTGTGCAGTGAGCAACTTTACCTGCTGAGCCATCTTGCCAACCCTAAATTTTTGTTCTTAAGAATGAAAGCTGCTGAGCATGGTGACACAGCCGTTAATCCCAGTACTCCGAGGCAGAGACAGGCAGACGTCTGTGAGTTTAAGACCAGCCTGGTCTCACAAATTTAGTTCTGGTTTTGGGAGGGATACTGTAAGCACCCCAGAATCACTCCAACAGAAACCAAATTTATGTTACGTGGTCATATAGAGATCTCAAGGGTCTGGGCCCAGCCTGCTTGTTAAGGAGTCTATTTCTGTGATAAACAACATGACCAGAAGTAACTTAGGGAAGAAAGGGTTTATTTTAGCTCACAGCTCTGAGGTCCCACTGCTTCTCCGAGGAAAGTAGGGCAGGAATCAAGCAGGGCAGAAATCCTGAGGCAGGAGCGGAATCACAAGTCATGGAGGAGTGTTTACTGGCTTGCCCTCGGTGGCTTGTGCAGGATGCTTTCTTACACCACTCCGGATCAGGCTGGTATTGCCCGCATTGACTTAGGCTCTCCCACATCAGTCATTAATCAAGAAAATGTCCCACAGCCTTGCCTACTGGCCAGTTTTATGAAGGCATTTTTCTTGGTTTAGATCCATCTTCTCAGATACCTCTAAGTTTGTGTCAAATTGTCAAATTAACCAGCAATGTTAAATCAGGAAATGCAATGAGTGAGCGGCAATTCTCTCTGAGTTGGTTTAATATCCTGGTAAGGATGCTTAGCTCTGGTCTTTGTTTTTGGTAGTGATGGGGAAGGAACATCAGGCAAGGCCTGGATCCAGTTTTAACACTCTGCTGAGAAGTTCTTTGGGCAGAAGCACGGCATAAACCAAATGAGACAGAGGTATCCGAATTGTACCAATAGTCACTAAAGAAAAAAAACAGGACTGGGGTATTAGAATTGATTTGTCACATGGGACAGAGAACTAACCCCCCCCCAATTATATTCCCTAAAGAGAGACAGATGATACTTCACAAAGGCAATAGGAAAAGCATGGCGGGAGGGGGGCGGGCAGGAAGACAGCATTCAGAGCAGCTCCTTGACTGTCCTCTGTAGGGCAAGAAAGCAATAGTGAATATTTTCATGAAGTCATATTTATTAAAAATGATAGAATTCTGGCCATTGAGATGGTTCATCTGATAAAAAACTCTTGATTTACATCAAACAGGGAAGAACTGGATAAGTTAGCCTCTGGTCCTCACAGGTGTGCCATGGCAAGTGTGTACTCCCCATAATAAGCAAATACACTTTTTTAAAGATTAAAAAAAATGCCAGGTGGTAGTCACATACAACTTTAATCCCAGCATTCTGGGAGGCAGAGGTAGGCAAATCTCTGAGTTAAAGGCCAGCCTGGTCGACAGAGCAAGTTACAGGACAGCTTGGGCTACACAGAGAGACCCTATCTTGAACCCCATCCCCCCAAAAGATTAAGAAAATGGTGGATTCTGGAGGAGCAGAGACTTGGGAGACTTGGCATGATAAGTTAGTGATAGACTCCCCCATAGACTGGGTTTCCTGTTCTCACACTGTCAGATACTGCTGGGTTAGAAATCTTGGCTCCTGGTGTGGAATAGAGAAGGTGTGTCTTCCGGGAGATGCATGAGGGTTCTGTTGTGCTAAAGCTATGATCATGGGCTGGAGAGATGGCTTAGTAGGTAAGAGCATTGCTTGCTCTTCCAAAGGTCCTGAGTTCACTTCCCAGCAACCACATGGTGGCTCACAACCATCTGTCATGAGGTCTGGTCTGCAGGCATACACACAGGAAGAATATTGTATACATAATAAATAAATAAATAAATATTTTTTAAAAAGCTTTGATCATTTACCCAAACGTTTTCCCATATTGTGTGTTAGCACACAAAGAATTACTGGATCAAAGGGACATAGCTCAATTGGTAGGAAGCTTGCCTGACATGCATGAAGCCTTGGGTTCCATTCCTCAGTATAAACTGGGTGTAATGGTACATACCTGTAATATTAGCCCTCAGTGGTGGAGACAGGGGGATGCAAAGCTGTCTTCAGCCATACAGGGAGCTGTGGGCCAGTCTGGGAAACATGAGACCTTATCTCAGGGAAACACAAACATTACCATGTTGCCAGTGTTATACTGTACTTTGGGTCTTAAGCATCTCCCACAGGACTATGTGGTCAGGCTGGGTCTCTACCTCAGGCTTGTGCCATTGTAGGCTTTGTCCCCAGCATATGATTACTGGGATGTGGAGGAGCTTTGGGGAGGTGGGGTCTAGGGGGGTCTTTAGAGCTCTAGGGATGAGCTCCTGGGGGGGACTGTGGGGCACCCACCCCTTTCTCTCTTTTCCCTTTCTGACCATGAGTTGAGCAGATTAGCTCCACCATGCTTTCCCACCGCATGTGCTTCTGTAACACAGGCCCCAACCACAGTGCCATCCAGTCCTGGACGGAACCATCAACACTGTGAAACAAAGTGCGGCTTTTCCCTTTACATTTATTGCAGGCATTTGTATATAGATAAAGAGCTAGTGCTGGCTACAGTGATGAGTAATGGCTGGGCCATTAAAGAAGACCAACAGTGGAGGTGCTGAACTCGGGGTGTGTGTTTGGGGGGTGGGAGTGGAGGGGGTGGGGGAAGGATGTGCTCTGCGGGCATATCTCAGTACCTGCATGTCCAGTGCTAACTGTAAATGAACACGATGGCAGCAAGCACAATTAATGATTCATACCCCCTGGGGATGAAAACCTGAGTCACCAATAGGCAGCAGCCCAGATCTGCTGAATGCTGGCCAAGGGTGGGGACGCTTGGAATGGGTGAAATAGAAGGGAGATGAGGCGTATCAGTGTTGCCCTGAGACCAGTTTATATGGAGGATACGGCAGCTCATCCCCTGAACCGTAGCCTATTGAGTCCATTAGGACACAGGCTATGTGATCAGCTGGACTAAGTCGGGGCAGAACTGGATGTATCAGATTCCTCTGTCACTCTGCTGTGTCCTCTCAGTAATCTTCCTGCGGCCCTTGTTGAGGACATCCGCTATGTGGAGGATGAATCTGAAAGCCACTCACTTGCACTGCCCTGCCCAGCTCTTCCTCTTTACCTTTGGGCCTCTTTGCCTCTGCTATTCAAGATGCCTGCAGTTGCCTGCTCAGCCGTTCTACACACAAGCAAAATTGGAAATGTTAGGGAGTTCACACCCTAGTCCAGCAGAGAGGGAACGTAACCAGCAAACGTTCTCCCTGGAAAGGACGGTTCCGAGATACGCTGTAGACCTAATTGAAAAACCCAGCTCTGCTGAAGAATACAAGCTCCATATCACAGAACCTTCGCACCAGGGTGGCTCTCTGCCCTGCTTTATCTTTCCCAGTCCTCTACTGGAGCTTGCAACAAAACATGCTGATAATCGTTTAGTTACTGATATTCTGCAGGGACATTGCCATGGTTTGCAGGGTTTACCTATTACTGCAAACACACTTTTAGCTTACAGGCTTACACCACATCTGCAACTTGGAGAGCAAATATGTACCGCTGGCCCTTGACCTTGGAAGTCAGTGCAAGGAGATCCAGTGTCTCAGAAAACTGAGACATTGTTACTTTTGTGTTAGCTGATGAGAGCAAAAGCCAGGCAATGGTGGTGCACGCCCTTAATCCCAACATTTGGGAGGAAGAGGCAATTGGATATCTGTAAATTTGAGGTCAGCCTGGTCTACAGGGTGAGTTTCAGGACAGCCAGGGCCACACAGAGAAGCCCTATTTCAACAAACAACAAACAAACAAAGCATTGGCAGTCTGGGGTGATGGCTCCGGGGCTAAGAGTCCTTGCTCCTCTTGCTGAGTACTCACGTTTAGTTTCTACAAGTCATACAGGTGTCTAAAACAGCCTGTAACTCAAGCTGTAGGGGATCTCATGGCCTCTTCTGGCCTCTACGAGCACAGGTATACAGGTATGCATGTACATGGGCAGGGGCACACACATACAGATACTTAAAAAAATAAAAACAAAAGAACCAGTAACAAACTGACATCAGCTATGGAACTCAGCAAGATGGAGGTAGAAGGAGAGGGATAGAGCTAGAGAGAGATGCTCTGATTCAGTTTCTATTTTACAGTAAACTGGTGGAGGGCTTAAGGGAGGGAGGGCAGGGAACATGAATTGAAGGATACTCACTGTATTCTTGGAAATGTAATAGGTAAGAACACCATCTCCAGTCGGTTAAAGGCACATGCCTTTAATCCCAGCATTTGGGAGGCAGAGGCAGGTAAATCTCTGTGAATTCAAGGCCAGCCTGGTCTATATGAGCTTGTCCCAGGACAGCTAGGGCTGTTACATAGAGAAACCCTGTCTTGAAAAACAAAAACAAAACAAACAAACGAAAAGAACACCCTCTCCAGAGAGAGGGAGAAGGCTCATGGAGTTTTCAGATGCACTGGGTTTGAGGGTTCTTCGTGGGATTCTGATAGAGCTAGCTATCTATCAGATCTATGTATGAAACAGCCCTGACGCTTAAGAAATTAAAAAATGGGGAGGCAAGATATTAATGCGAAAATGTGTGTGTGTGTGTGTGTGTGTGTGTGCACGTGCACGTGTGCAAGTGCATTTGTGTATATAGGTGCATGTATGGAGGCCAGAAGACAGCCCCAGGTGTTGTTCCTCAGGAGTGATCAATCTTGTTTTCTGAGACAAGGTCTCTCATTTGCCCGAGTAGACAGACTGTGGTAGCCTGCGAAAAAGCCCAGGGATCTGCCATCTCCACCTCTCCAGCACTAGATACAATCCCTAACTTGTGTTAGGCAGAGTGTATGTATGAACTCAGGTCCCGGTGCTTCAGCAGCAAGCCATCTCCTCAGTCCTGCTGTGAAATTTCATTTACTTATTTATTTGTTTATTTATTTTATTTATTTTTAATCTTTTGAGACAGAGTCTCTCTACGTAGCCCAGGCTGTCCTGGAACTCACTATGTAGACCAGGCTGGTCTTGAACACACAGAGATCTACCTGTCTCTGCCTTCCAGGGCTGGGATTGAAGGCAAGCGCCATCAAGCATGGTAAAAGTTTTTGGACAATGATTTAGTATTCTGGGAACATCCTGCCACCTTTTCACTCCCACCAGGCAGCAGCAGGGCTTCCTGAATTACTGCCCTCTGGGCAGAGAAGAGAAAGGTGGCTCCCTTTGTCAGTTTCAATAAGAACCTTTGAAGTTCCTGGTAAAGAAAAGTAAGTTCAGGAGAAAGTTCTTCTTCCTCCTCCTCTTCCTCCTCTTCTTCTTCTTTCTTCCTTTTATTTATTTATTTATTTTTATTTTTTTATTTAATAGCCTGGATTTTGAGAACAAGATTCAAAGATAATCCCATCAGGAGGCAGATCTGGGTGGGGACAATGGAAGACCCAGTGTTTCACCCCATGAGAAAGAAGCTGGATAGATGGATGCTCCTGAGGAGGGCCCTCTTCCCCGCCCATGCTCTCACTGGTGAGTGTCAGTGTGGGACAACTGTGCTCCCTGATAGCTGTCGGAGACACAGGAGAGAGGAGGTCTCTCACTTCCTGTGTGAGCTTTACACTGTAGCTGCCCACAGGTGAGTGTGGTGCTCACTATTCTGTCTCCAGGGAAGTCAGGAGGAGCTTCCACAGTCCCAAAGGTGGAGGGGAAGGCTGACAGCCCGTGAACCAGCAGCCCTTAGAGATGGTACGCCAGCTAAAGGATGATGTGGAAGCCAACAACGGCTATGCAATACAATAGAGTAAAATGTCAGGCTCTCCTCTCCATGGCCATACCCAAGCTGCCTGTGCTGAGATTTGAACCTTCAAAAGATGGACACAGGCACGTTAACATTTCGAGGTTCATTTGAGCAAAGTATGGTTCACAAGTCAGGTGACGAATCGGAAAAGGTTCAGAGAACTCCAGCGTAGACAGTGAGCTTTTATAAACTGAATAGGGAAGTAAAGAAATTAGTTGAGGGCAAACCTGGTCTACACAGCTAGTTCCAGGCCAGTCAGGGCTACGCAGAGAAACCCTGTCTCAGAAAAAAAAAAAAAAGGAAAGAAATTACTTGAAGGCTGGTAAGATGGTTCCACAGGAAGCTCTTGCTACCTAGCCTGACGTTCCGAATTTGATCCCTGGGCCCACACTGTGGAAGGAGAGAACTGACGCTGTGAGTTGTCCTCTGACTGCTACCACTACACGCCTGTGCACACGTGTCCTCTGATCGCTACTGCTACTTGCCTGTGCACACTTGTCCTCTGACCACTACTGCTACACACCTGTGCACACGTGTCCTCTGACTGCTACAGCTACACGCCTGTGCACACTCACACATCTGCTCAATCAATCAATCCATGGCAAAAGAAACGACTTAGTTGACTTCAGCTAGGTGTCTGCATTATGTGAGAACCGAGACAGGACAGAAGTACAGAAGATTATGGACACAGGAATAGTGAAGCCACTTACCAGCCAAGAATGGAGAATTCTAGTTCAAGAGCAGGACTCAGTGGCTAAAGTGCTTCCTTTGCAAGCATGAGGACCTCAATCTGATTTGCATAAACCATGTAAAAAAGTTGGGTGTGGCAGCATATGCTGATAATCCTGAGCACTGGGAAGAAGTCAGATGAATTCTGGTGGTTGCTGGCTGATCAGCCTTACCTACCCAGCAAGTTCCAGGTCAGTGTTGGATTGCACATTGAAGGTGAAGATATGGTCTCCAAACACCATGTACACCAGTACTCATACTGCGCGCGTGTGCACGCACGCACACACACACACACACACACACACACACACACACAAAGGAATCCAACACAACTAACACTTGTTTGAGGCCTTCCCATACCTCCCTGCTGTTTGTTCTGATTCTCACCAGAAACCCCAGTGACAGACAGTGGAAGGACGTGACCTGACTCCTTGTGCAATCCTAGTGCCTCCTGATTTTATCTCACCTGACTGGAATCCCATCCAGGGCACCTCTGGAACCACCCTAGAACCTCACTTAACAAAAAGAGAGGGAAAAAAATTCTTACTGACCCTGGGAGATGTAACTTGAGTCTACAGCTCAGACACTTAGGCAGTCCTTTCCTTGGGAAGCCCACACGCATGCTCACGAGAACGTTTTACTCTCTCTTCTCTCTATTTTTAATAAACGCCAATTCTGCTTCATACAGGTTAATCCTGAAACTATTTCTGTGGTCTGGCCGAGGATCTGGTTTTGCCTGAGGCCAGGTCTCTGAAAAGACCTCAAGCTGCTGCAGGTGACAGTGTGAAGCTGGGAATCCATCCCTGCCACAACAGACAGGAATGATTACATGGGACATACCTAAGTGGAGATTCTTCATTTCCAATCAGATGAGTTGAGGTTCTACCCCTCAGGTTGCAGTGGGCTGCAGTTTGCTTCCTAGAAAGGCGGTGTGCTGGGACTTTTCAAGTTCTGATTTCATGCACTTCTAAGAGAATAAAAAGAATGATTTGTGTTAAAAACCCGAGTCTAGAGTATCTACATCACTCTATTAACAATTACCATAACCAATTACCACATACATTAGGATTCTTCAGAGTATATGGATTTGTAAAAGGGACTATTATGAAGACTCTGGAGGCCCAGATTCAATCCCTAGAACCTACATAGATGGCAGGAGGGAACCAACTCCTGACATCCACATTCTCGCTGTAGCACCCAAGCATGAACATAGACACCCTTCCACCACTTCCATGAAGAGCCCATAGAGCTGAGGAAGAATACATAAAGAAAAAGGGTTCTCCAGTGTAGAAAGCTTCCTCAACTTGAGGTTAGTTATTGGACCACCAGGTAAGAGCTTCTCTCTTTCAGGAGCCAGCTTCACAGGGACCCTGCCTGTTTTCTGGGGCGACAGTCATCACTGCTGTTCACCATATGGAAGCACCTGCCAGGTTAACTTCCTTGTGGTTTTCATTGGATGGAAAGAAAAGAACCATGATTCAAAAAGTGGGATTTGGAATTATCTTTATCAAATGCCGCCGCTCCTAATCTCATGTGGATTTCTCAATGATCCTATTGCCAATTTCAAGCTGTCGGTTCTTCCATCATTAAATATTAACACCAGTAATGGAATTATTTCTGATCTTGTTTGAAATAACATGCATGACGTGCTTAACATTAAATATAAAAATGTACACAATGCCACGTACATGTACACATGATGGTGCATGTCTTTAATGCCAGCACTCGGAGCAGTGGCAGGCGGATCTCTATGAGTTTGAGGGGGTTCTCAGTCTGCGTACTGAATTCCAGGCCAGTGTTACACAGTGAGACCCTGCTTAATTTAAAAAACAAAACAAGACAATGAGATATTAGGAGGAATTATTACTCTCAAAATAACAGACATATAGAATATATTTAGATCTCCCTCCTTCTTTTGAGACAGGTCACGCGATGTAGCTCTGGGTGTTCTGGAACTCACTATGTAGACCAAGTTGGCCTCCAACTAGAGATCCTCCAACCTCTTCCTCTTGAGTTCATGGGCCACTATGATTATTTTATTCTTATTTATTTGTTATTTATTGCTTATTTTCTTCCTAACACCTAAGGACACAGATTGGTGAGTTGACAAAGGGAAGGAATTGATTCTACAAGTGCCTATTTGTTTACTTATTTGGGGCTCCACCGTAGGCCTGCACACGTTCGGCATCATTCTCCCAGGAATGTACATTGCTAGCCCCATGATAGCGTTTAGATTTAAGCAAGCCAACAATTTGAGTATTCAGGAATACTGCGCCCATAGTTACCTGTCACATCTGTCCATACACAAGTGATATTAACAGAATTCTGAGAGCTAATATGAATGAAATGGATTCTGTCAAAGTTCAATGAAATATTATATAAACAATCAATTGCTCACCCCTGTCAACATTTTAAAAGGCGACTAGTAATTCAGGATTAGTTTAATTCTCTTTGGGAAAACTGAAGGAGGACCTGCAAAAAAGCATTTATTTTATTTATTTTGTGGGTACGCGTGTTGGTTAGAAAACAACTTGCTGGCTGGAATCAGTTCTCTCCTTCCTCCATGCGGGTGTGGGGCCTCGGGCTCCCTGTTGTCAAGCTTGGTGACGAAGGACTTTTACCTCCTGAGCTATCTCGCGGTCCCTGAAATCAGATTTGAGAGTCTATATTTCCGCAACGTTTTGCAACTATAGAAATACAAGATATCATTTGGGCCTGTAATCTAGGATCAAGAGGGTGAGTCAGAAGGAAACTGAGTTGGAGGCTCGCCTGGAAGACACACCAAGGCCAGTCTCAAAACATAGCGGCTCCTTTCCCACCCCCACCCTTTCTTTCTTCAGGGCCTTTCAGCGGTGCTGAGGCTCAGCTAAGCACGTTTGGATGGCTAACTAAGCCTGGCGGCTGGACTTGAAGCAGACTTCCCCCGCCCCACCCCCACCCCCACCCCCACCCCCACATTTAGGCCTGCGCATTCTCTCCCGGGTCCTAAAGTGGCTTTTGATCCGCAAGAGCACGCTTCCAGATGTGGATTTAGGATGGGACTAAAGGCGCTTAATCTCCAGGCTCTAAACACAGGCCCGAGTCGCAGCGGGCTCCCAGGGAGACCTGTTGTTGAGCA